CCTGGGAAATGCCACTGACAAGCAAAGAAAACACAATGCTGTACTTTCTAGAATCAGTTCAGCTCAAAACCAAGGGGTATGCTGTTGACAGCCCCTGTAATTTAAAAAAAATTAAATAGCCAAAAAACAGGAAAAATAATGTGTATAAAAGTTCTGAGGAATTGATTTATGACATTAACATTTATTTTTGAAGCTCCTCAGGATTACACTGTAGTCCAAGATAAGGACTTTTTGAGATCATGTCTTGGAACACTATACATAAATTATATTAATGTAATTTTTTCCCTACAAATAACACGTTCTTTTGGTGGTACTTGATCACCTCTGCATTTTTTATTTCTTGCGATATAAAAAAAATTGACAATTTTGAAAAAAAATATTTTTTACTTTTTGCTATAAAAAACATATCCAAAAAAATTTCTTTATAAATTTAGGCCAAAATGTATTGTTAAAATGTCTTTGCTAAAAAAAGTGTATATTATTTGATTTACGTGAAAGTTATGTCTACAAATGGCAGTATATATATACTGGAACTGTTTATACTAGTAATTGCAGCAACTTATAGTAGGTCTGCGGTGGGCACTCTAACACTGGGTGGGAACTGACTGCCACTGGCATCTCCAGTGACACTAATACAGTGATCAGTGGAGAGAGATAGAAAGCAGCACGCCCATGCTGACTGAAGAGAGATCTGTGTTGTATAGACACAGATTTTTCCTCTCTCAGCTTCACCGATGATCACCGAGTCCTGGCCAGGAATCACTGGCCGGGACCCAGTGATTGACATCCTCAGGAGCCAATGGTAGGATGGGTTGGGTATCGCAAGCCCCCTATCTGAAAATGCAAAATCATGTATATTTATGTGATTTTGAACAGCGCTGCCATCTTCTAGCAGTACATCTGCTATGGGGTGGTCTTGAAGTGGAGAGCTAAAAAAAAGCATTTTGGTGGACCAATTGGCAGAGGTGTCCATTGTTGCCTAAGAATAGGCAACTGCCATCTGGTTTAAAGAACATCAAGTTGCCCTGTTTCACTCCAAAAAAGTGTTTGCATATAAAGCAACTTGGTATTCATTAAACCAGTTCACTCCGAGCTATTTTTAGATAGCTGACAATGGGCACCTCTGCTGATCAGACCACTGGTGGGCATTTTTAGGCCTCTTTAACTAACCTAGTTCTAAACAACCACCTAAGTATCCCTCTGAGGATTCAGGATTGGGACCTCCATGGCACTAAGAGTGACCATTTTCTTCCTGTGTGGAGACAGGGTTTTCTTCGCCTGCTCACATGAAAGGTTGCATGTCCCTACCCTATAGGGTGACCGCAGCCTCAACAGATGTAAGTTATCTTCCTTTTTCTCCCTTCTCTACTGGAGGGGGGGGTCAAATTGGTGTGAATACTGAGAAAGTTCTATCACAGCCTCCCTCCCCAACTCCTATTTCCTCACCATCTTGCTCTTATTGTTATTACTTGAGGGTCAATAGGAGAATCAGCTCCCCAAGTGTCCAGAAACAAAAAGATTACCTCACAAATCAGGACTCTCAGTCTTTTTAGCGTATCCTGTCTACAAACTCTTGAAAAAAATTAATAAATACACTGAGGAGGAAGAAGAGGGGGGAAATGGAAGAACCCCTAAAAAAAAAAAAAGAACCTCAATACTATAAAAAATAGTCAGTCTATCTATACACACACTTACAGAGCATGAGATATCTCTGTTGGGTAAAGGGGTAAAGGACTTAACTTTTTCTCTTTCTCCCTCCATTAATTTTAATCCTTTTACCATCTTTAAAGATTTAAATACATTTATCAAACAACAAACGGTCAAAATGTTCTATATTATGAATCTCCCACAAATGAATATAATTAAAGTGGTTGCAAAGGAATTTGTTTTAAAATAACAAACATGTCTATACTTACATTTTCTATTGCACAGAGTGGCCATGAACCTTTTCTTCTTGGGTCTCTCACTGGTGCTCTTGGCTCCTCCCCTCACCCAAGTTCCCCCAGTGGGAAGAAGCTTCCCGTACAGGCACTCGTGTGGGCTGTCTCCCGAAGCCCCTTGCTGCCTCCATTGACACAGACAGCAGGGCTCGGCCCCGCTACCTTTTTCTTTTCATTGACTTTGATTGACAGCAGTGGGATAGAATGGCTCTCGCTGCCTCAGCAAATTCTGTGAGAGCTGGAAGTGAAGGGAGAGAAGAGCTGCAGTCGTGCACAGCGCTGGACTGAATGAGAGCTCAGGTAAGTATAAGGGGTGAGATGCCAATACCGATGCCTACATTTGCTTTTATCTTAACCACTTTAATGAAGCTACTGATTCTTTAGTAATGAAGGATATTGGAATTTGCGACACAGGGAACATGGCTGCACTAACTACTTTAGAGGAACTGATAGCAGAAAACCATGAGATTTATGTTAATACACTGTTTTGGTATTCCGTCTCTATATGCCATACATCTTTTAGAAATAAGTATGTATTTCACCCTGTACCAGCTAACAGTGCAACATTTTTACCAAGTAGTTTATGCTGACCTATTGGCTATCAGCAAACAAGAGATTTCTAACTTGACTCCTATGGATGAATGTAATTCACTTAAAGCTTTGGCCCAGAACCATTACATCGTTATCAAATCCGCTGACAAGGGTGTGAGGGATATAGTTATACAAGGGCAGAGCAGATTATATCATTGAGGCTTATAATGGATGCAGGGTCCTGGGTTTAGTAACACTTTATGTGGTCTCCCACAGTACACAGAACTTGGAAATGCAATTATTTTCGTAAATATAAACTGCTAAACACCTTTTCTCAACAGCAGCTAGAGCAGCCTTGTGACTTCAGCAAAGCACTGGTTAAAGCTTGTGGGAGGAGTTTCATTTCTGCTCGGAGGATGCAGAACCCCTGACCTATGTCTGGACAGTGTTGATTGGCCCTGTGCTGATCACATGCACTCTCCCAAGAAAAAAAAAAAACTGTCTAGCAATACACACTAAACTGAACATGTACAGAAGGGCTACGGGTTCAGTCTGTCTTATCAGTAGATAAGACATGGACATTAGAACAAAAGGAGGGGCAGAGAAGACAGGATCAAACAGACGTCTTACAAAATGCAAAAGATTAACCCCTTAGGTTCCACAGTGAGTATAACAAGCATGCTTTACTACATATGCAGACTGATTTTACTGTTGAGGGCACTGAATGACTTTGTCCCGGCACTGACTATATAGAGTATATAGTGTGTTTTGTCTGGCAATGCCTTTATCTTCGAAAAGGAAATGTCGTCCTTGTTCAGATTGTCCAGGGTTGCCATCGTCTTCCTAGATTTAGATACTGGCTCAGAGTTCATTTAACATTCTGGTCCCTGTGCAATTTTGGCTGTGGTCATAAATGAGATCAGATCAGCTACCTGCTGCAGCCTTTCAACTCCTTTCTCCTTCTTGATATACAGTTACGATGTTGCAATCAGATCGAAAGGGAGAGTAGGCCATGGAAATGTACCCTTCCCCTGCCTGTAGAAGACCAGTTACAATTCCTCATCCCAGACACTAGAGCTCTCAAGGATTATTTTTGAAAAGAAAAGGCACAGCTTTTTTAAAAGTTGTCTGCTATGTATATTGTGATGTGTCAAGAATGTCCAGTTACTGAAAGGTCCACCTCCTTGCTCCCAGCCTACTTTTTAAACATAGATAGCACAGAAGACTGATGAAGTTCAAGCTGCCCTTTCCTTCTGTCAGATTGCTCTTTGTCATCACATTTACACGGAGTATAGTTTGGCTCAATGTACTTCCCCTCCAGAATACTCTGTTGTAACAGGGATTACAGGAGACTGACACCAAGACCTCATTCAAATGAACTTTTACACCAGTAGCCTGGGAGTGAGAGACTTGTTTATCCAGCTTTGGTCTCCAGTTGCACAGCTGTTAAATTCAGATGAGTGACTGTATCTGTGCTGGAGCTGTGACCCAACAGAAATGGATAGCCTCTTGTACGCAGCACCTTGCAGTTGCAGCCAGGGAAACAAGCCGATCATTCATGGGTTACAGATCTCAGCAGCCATATAAATAAGGCCCAAATCAAATTCAGATACTTATACTAATTCCATTTAGAAAAGACATTTAATGATTTAATAATAAATACATAGATGCATTAATATGTCTTTATATTTAACTGTTCCCATGGATTGAACATTAGTGAGAGCATTGGCAATGCATGCGTTCATTTTGAAAAACAGACATATTAAAATTGTCCAAATTTATTTCCCTAGCAAATAAGATACAAATGCCTCTTCATGCATTCTCAGAAAGGCATGTAAAATTATATTTTATTAAAATATTATTTTTCTTATGCCTTTAACATGTCTCAACTAAATTGAGAAAAGAAAAGAAACAATCAGCATTAATAACGAATTATATTGCAGCTAAATTGCCTTTTCTAGATTCTTGTCTCAGGTGTAAAAAAATAATTGCTTCAAAAGAAAATGGTCCCCTGTGTATGAAGTCTAGAGGGCCCTTCTCCCTTGTTTTTACAGTACATATAAATATATTCACGTGCTAACATGTTTCAGGTGTAATTTCTCAATATACATTATATTATGTTCTCTAACACTTCTCTGGTTTTTATTTGGAATATGCCTGTTAATTTCCCTGTAAGTATACACTATGTTTTGCACAATTTGATAATGATAATCTATGCAGTCATAAGGATTCATCAGCTTCCCATTGATTGTTTGCCTGAAAAGGGGGTCCCTAAAAATGAAGTGGTGAAAATCAATTTTATAATACTTTCATTCTGAAGATTCATTATATGAATGTATTATATTATATGATAGTGAGGATACTGATATCTCTGATCACTGCAAATAGCAAAAGGACAGGGAGACATCTTTAATTTAGCTCAAACCCATCAAAAACAAAAATGTAAGGTCCACAAAGACCCTTAAATGACAGTTCTCTATATTTCTTTTACAGGGATTCTACACTATGAAAGAAGAATTAAATAGGACCATGGTGCAAGAATTTATTTTATTTGCATTCTCCAGTTTAAAACAGCTCCAGTTATTACTGTTCTTCCTTGTTTTGGTAGCATACATCATCTGCGTTACAGGAAATATCATCATCATCATCTTAGTTAGAATTGAACCCTTGCTTCAAACTCCAATGTATTTTTTCATAAGTACTTTTGCTGTTCTTGAAATTATGTTTGTGACGGTTTCTATACCAAAACTTCTGGATAATTTGATTTCAGGAAATAAGAGGATATCTTTCATTGAATGTTTTACACAGATGTTTATTTTCAATGGTTTGGGTATGACAGAATGTTATTTGTTATTAGTCATGGCCTTTGATAGGGACTTGGCTATTAACAGTCCTTTACGTTATTCTGCCATTATGAGGAAGGAAATTTATACTCAGTTAGCTGTGGCCCCATGGGTTGGTGGTTTTTCAATGTCTTCCATGACTCTTATTTATATGGCTCAAATGAAATTCTGTGGGCCAAATCAGATAAATCATTTCATCTGTGATGTGGCACCACTTCAGAATTTGTCTTGCTCCGATCCTTCAATGAGCAAATTAAGCACAACAATAGCCGCTATTCTTGCTGTAGTTGTGCCAATTTTAATTATCATAACTTTCTACATTCACATAATTAACGCCATTTCGAAAATCAAGGGCGCTGAAGGCAAACAAAAAGCCTTTTCTACCTGTTCTTCTCACCTTATTGTGACCAGTCTCTTCTTTGGATCGGCTCTTGTTGTGTACATCAGACCAACTGGAGGGGAAAATGACAAATTTCTGGCTCTTATTTACACAGTTCTTACTCCACTCTTAAATCCCTTCATTTATACTTTGAGGAACAGTGATGTGAAGACAGCAATAACAAATTCAGTCTTGAAGAAAATACATTTATCCTGTGGCCTGTAAGGCACAATTTTAGTTCGCATTATGAAAAAAAGTGTATTTAAATATGTTTATTATTTCTCAATATATACAATTTTGCTACTATACACAACAGTTGAGTACTGTATGTAATACTTTTTTTATTTGCACCAACATTCAAATTTTCTGACAAGTTTTTGAAGTGTATCCCCTTCTTCTGAGGTCCAAGCAGTACTAATACGCAAAATGTTAAATAAGACACTCTCTGAGAAAAAAGTATACACAGTGCTAGGAATAAACTGGGAAAGTAGGTCTGATAAGGAAAGGAGTGGACTATGGAATGAAAGGAGTGGGGGAAGAGTCACAGAGGTGAGAGTGGTCATAAAATGGTTGAATAGCCATTTAGAAACCTGAGGTCTACATTTAGTACATTATCTTTTTGTCTAACAGAATTACCATTGTTAGTCCAAATCAGGGGCGGACTGACCATTTGGGAACTCGGGCACTGCCCGAGGGCCTGGGGTCAGCAGGGGGCCCCATAAGATGCCCCTGGTACCTTTCATAGGTTTATTTGGGTGTGGTTTGAGTGTGGGTGAGGACACAGGGGCCCCATGATCCCCTATTGCCCGGGGGCCCCATGAGTTGTTAGTCCGCCCCTGGTCCAAATGTTTTCCTTTCCTGAGCAAATTCCTTGTAGGAACTATAACATAACATATGTGTCTTCCTTACAGTTATGTTGTGTGAAATAATGTTTTGCAGGTGTACAGTAACCACCCCCTTGTGTCCTTAAATGATGTCCCTATGTCAATTAATTCAATGCAAAACAGGACAGAAATTACAAAAATTAATGAAGTACCCAACATTACTTGAAATACAGCTGTATGATCTGATAATATTGAAGGTCCAATTTGAGTGTGTGACACATTTTAATGGATTGATTTGGCTGCACAGTTTGCAGCGTTTGTTGACGCAAGGCTTGGTTCCTTTACTTGTTTCACTGAAATGACAGAATTGCAGTCTCCTGCTGAATAATTTATGTCGGAGGTTGGGTGGTTGCCAGTTAGCCAGGAGTGGGGTTGGTAAACTATTTCTTCTTTTAGATTTTCAATTCTCTTTTTTGAAGGGTTGCAAATTTTTGATTATCTTTCTTATCCTTCCTAGCGCTCGATTGTATAGTAAGTAGTTAGTAGAGCTGCAGGATATTGTAGGATATTTCCTTTTCAGATTTTCAAGGCAGTGTTTAAAACTTGTAATGATGGTTTTGTTCTGGTAACCTGCTATGAGGTCTAGGGTAGCAAAGCTTTGACATAATATAGTTGTTGTAGCAATAATAATAATAACCATAATGATATTTTATAACTGTTAACCAAAGCACGGATCCATAGTAATGACCTGACTACGATGACAGCAATCCTACTGCTTATCCCTGATTTAGGTATAGTATATGTTCGTATCAGTGACAGTATTATTACAATTGACACTTCCAGCTGTTACAGAGAGTTAGCCAGAGGGCCCCATCAAAATATTGCTATAGTACTCCATGATTGGTACTTATGTCGTTGGCATGGGCTGTACCATTGTATCCCACATATTGTAACCACTGCCCATTTTGTGCCCACATATTGCATTGATTTCTTGTTTGCTGCTTGAGTATTGATTGACTGTACTTTTGTTGCCTGCGTACTAACAGGACTGAGCATATTGTCATCAGTGTTGTTTCCATAGATGACCATATCACTTTAATTGAATCCATGTACGCCCATAAATCAAACCACAGTACTATTATCTCAGTATTGTTCTGTGGTGTATTATGGGGTTCATTTTCTAAAGGCAAAAAGGCTGTGCACTTTGCAAAGTGCAGTTGCTCCAGAGCCTAGTAAATAAGGAAAAGCTTCACTTTGCAAACAATACCCAATTGCATGCAAGCAAAATAAGAAAGAAACAACATGCACATAATTAGTTGATGGAAGTCAATGGAGCTTCTATTCATTTACTAAGCTCTAGAGCAGCTGCACTTGCAGAGTGCAACTGTACTATGCAAAGTGCACAGTCAATTTGCCTTTAGTAAATTCACCCGTATGTGTCTACTATTAAACTCTCCATCTCGATATTCCTCCTGGCTCTGCCCCATCCCCTGTAAATCTAAAAGTTACTGACTGAATAGTTTGAAGGTGTGCACATACATATATTGCAGCCCTTAAACCCAAACAATATTCTGTAATTGTTGTGTCACAGAAAGAGACATTTGTACAGACCATCCAGTCATTTCAGATTTAACTGGACTGTCCCACAATGACTCACCTTGCTACCTGAACAGAATTTATTGGCTCACCATGTTCTGATCTTGTATCAGGTAGACATCAAAACAAAGTGGTTGGCTGGCCACAATGTAAGCATCAGCAAAAGGGAGAACCAGGCAGGTCACACTGTACAGTGGAGAGGTGGGTCATCAAAACTCAGAGCAGCAATGCATCAGTAAGCTTATGTAAAGTCCATATCCCATTATCCAGATAAATACCTAAATCTGTCTTAGTGTTGTGCAATCACCTGCTGGCAGCAGAACTTACTAAGCTTGTATTGTCCAACGATGTTCAATACTCACTCATTTGCTACCATTATTGAGAGCAGTGATCTGTCTTTCAGAAGTGCATTCCATCACCCCATATTCATGATGAGACATCTGCCTTTCATGAATAAGACCCCCAGCCCCAGTGTAAAATTATGTAGTGTCCAGTAAAGCATATAGGTTGGAGTTGCCAGGAGTATGTAGTAGGTAAATCCCCAGTCACTATGTTTCACATACATTGTACCATCCTTATCACCTTACCCCCTTTTACCTTGGTCCTCACCCTCTGAACGCAACTATTTCTACACTACTAATCCCATTCCTTAGGCTCCATATTTCACACATGCTTATCTCCTAATACCACCCCATTCCCTCCCCCTACTATTCAAACATGTATATCCCCCAACCACATCATCATTCACACAGGTATATCTCCTAATCCCATCCTATTCCATTCCCCCATCCTCCTAACTCCCCACACTCACCATTCTGGCCAACCCCCTCCCCTAATAAGTTTCCCACCCTCCCTTCTTTCTCCTCACCACCCTCTCTCCACTCCCATGATTTCCATTTTTTGACACTTCCTTACCCATCAATCTTTGTAGCTATCACTTACAGGTCCAACAGGCTCTCACCTGCAGTTTTATCTCCAGTTCCAGACCTGTACCAACTACATCAACCTACACCAGTTAGTGCTACATCACCCTAGGTTCTAGTTCAAGATGTCATTATTTTAATTTCATTGTTTAATCATATTATTACACTGTTTTAATAATCTATCTTCATGTACTTAAGGTTACGATGCTTCATACAGCCATGTCAGCATTAGGCAATTATAATTAAAAATAATCATAGATATTATATAATTATTATAGTCTTTGTATGGAATGATTTACCCATTAATTTACTGTATAGATACCTATATACCTATATCTACAGTGTGTGTGTGTGTATATATATACATACATACAAACACACACACACACACACATATAAAATATTTCTGGCCCCAGATTTGTTTGTAGAAGGAATTATTGTTCCCTAAGAGCTTTAGAGTGTACAGTACAAATACACATAAGTAACAAAACATATCAAGGAGTTCAAGTATAGCGGGCAAATTTATTTATTTTTTTCTTATGGGATTCATATTCAATTGTAGGTCATAATAGAATGGCACAATCATAAAACAATACAGGGCAAACAAGTAAACAAATGAAATTTGCCCTCCCTGTTCAAAAGTCCTGTTCTGCATACCCTTAGTTCCTAAAATTGTGTATTGCCTCCTTTAGCATCAATGATAGCATGCAGTCTTTAGTAATAGTTGTCTATGAGGTTCCAAATTCTAGCAGGTGGCATAGCTGCTCATTAGTCTTGGAAAAATGCCTCCAGGTCATGCAAAGTCTTTGGTCTACTTCCATGAGCAACATGTTTGAGATCTCTCTGGAGTTGCTTTGTAATATTAAAGGTCAGGGGATTGTGATGGCCACTCTATAACCTTCATCTTTTTCTGCTGTAACTACTGAGGATTAACTTGGCCTTGTGCTTAGGATCATTGTCACACAGGAAAGTCCATGATTGTCCCATGCACAGAAGAATGTAAAGGCATCTGACAACCATGCAGATCATTTTTGTTCAAGTATTGCCATATTGTGCTCCTTGAAACAACCACACCATGTTTTTCCAGAGCAGCCTGTATTAACCTCTCCAGAGGGTACCTGTGCATTTTTTTTTAATCAAGAATAAATCTTCTGGCAGGTGTGGCTGCAATCTTTCTTGGTCTACCTGACCTTGGCTTGCTATCAAGAGATCCCCAAATTTTCCACTTCTTAATGAGTGATTGAACAGTACTGACTGGCATATTTAAGGCTTTGGATATCTTTAAATATCCTTTCCAAACTCTATAAATTTCCATTAACTTGTTTCACAGGTCTTTTGACAGTTCTTTTCTGCTCCCCATGGCTCACTATCTAGCCTGCTCAGTGCATCCACATGAGAGCTAACACGCTCTTTGACTACTTATACACACACTAATTGCAATGTAAAAATCCACAGATGTTGGAAATTAACATTTAATTGCCATTTTAGCCTGTGTGTTCCACCATGTATGTCTGTACCAAGGCTAAATATCCCAAGGTATGTAAACTTTTGATCAGGGCCATTTGGGTGATTTCTGTTATTATGATGTAGCCTCCCTAGCGGTCTGATTATGTCAGTATTTCTGTGCTCAAAGCGGTACATTTTTTTGCATGGAAATATGTACTTTTTTATTGTAGGCCTGTAATTTTTAGGAATAACACACTGAAATCTGTCCGAACAAGAGTCTAGTAAAC